AGTTGTTGCTCGAGTGTGCGATGCCGTAATAAGGTTACATCCACGATTGCTTAAGAAACCTGAACCTGTTCCCGATAACTCTACCGATCAAAGATGGAAATGGTTTAAGGTATTTCTACTTCTTTTTTAAAATTTACTTATTTCTAAATAAGTCTAATTATTATGAAAATATAACGATCTTCATTTTTTTGGTTCTAGAATTGTCTAGGAGCTTTAGATGGAACCTACATAAAATGTATAGTTCCAAAAGAAGACAAACCTAGATATAGAACAAGAAAAAAATGAAATTGCGACAAACGTGCTAGGGGTGTGCTCACAAGATATGCAATTTATATATGTCTTACCTGTATGGGAGGGGTCGGCTGCTAATGGTCGAGTGCTTCAAGATGCTCTTCTTAGGCCTCATAGATTAAAAGTTCCAAGACCGGGTATAGTTTACAATAGTTTACTATATATTAACAAGTTAAGTTTTGATGATTTATTAACTTAATTTATTACTAGGTTATTACTTGGTTGATGCCGGATACACAAATGGAGAGGGTTTCTTAGCTCCTTATAGGGGTCAAAGATATCATTTAAATGATTGGCGTGATGGACACCAACCAATCACCGCCAAAGAATTTTTCAATATGAAGCATTCATCGGCGAGAAATGTTATTGAACGATGTTTCGGTATGTTGAAGGCAAGGTGGGCAATCTTACGAGATAACTCGTATTATCCTATTGAACAAAAAGTTAGGATCATCATGGCATGTTGTCTCCTCCATAATTTTATAATGCAAGAAATGCCAGTAAATCCACTTGACAATGACGGTGAAGTGGATGAGGGAATCGGAGACCATGGAGTCGAAGACGGAGATAAAAAAAATGTTGTTGGTACTTCAAATGAGTGGACGGCATTTAGGGACAATTTAACACAATCTATGTTTGCTTCTTGGAATACTACCAATTAATTTGTATGATTCAAATATTTGTTTAACTCATCCTTAATGTTTGTTTAACTCATACTTGCCATGTTTGTTGAAATCTAATGTTTGTTTTGTAATAGAAATTATGGAGTTTGGACATGGATAATTAAATGTCGTTATACTTTTGATTCATTTATGTTTGTAGGTATGACGAGTCAAAATAGAAATTATAGAGTTGTGGATGAATATTGAAGAAACAAAACTCGTTGAAGCTTTACTTACTATGGTGAATACGGGAGCATTTAAAGCCGATAATGGCTTTAAATCGGGTTATTTAATATTTCTTGAACAATCGTTAAAAGAATCTTTGCCGGGCTCCGGGATTTTAGGGAAACCACACATCGAATCAAAGTTAAAAATAATGAAGAAAGATTGGACTATTGTGCATGACATGATAAATGGTTCATATACTAGTGGCTTCGGATACAATAGTGTGAAGCATTGTGTCGTTGTGGAAGACCAAGTTTGGGAGTCGTATCTTCAGGTACATGCTCAAAAGAACTTGCTATTTATATTTGCATTATATATAATCATAGTTATATGTATATTTAATAATTTCTATTATGAAATAGGTCCATAAAGGGGCGGGAAAATGGAAGAACAAACCATATCCTTTTTATGAGGATCTTTGTATTGTATTTGGAAAAGATCGTGCCACAGGAAATAGAGCAAGATATTTTGTTGAGGCGGAACAGGAGGCGCGTACAGAAGATCAAACACAACACATGAATGACGAGTCCGATGACGTAATGGCAACTAGCAATGTTCAAGGTGGGAATGCAAATATGTAATCTGAAGAAACTTCAACTGCACGTCGTAAGAAGAGAAAACGTCGAGTAGATCCCATGGCTGACGGATTTAGTAATGCGGTTACTAAACTTGGAGAAACTTTGGAGAAAATGGCGAACAAACTTAGCAGAGGTGTAGAACGAGAAGATGAACTTGATAAGAAACGTTTGATGATCACTCCTGAGATATTAAAAATGCAGACGTTGGCCCAACGGGAGAAGTTTAAAGCAATTTCATTGATAAGAGACGATCCTGAAAAGGTGAACATGTTTTGGGATTTCCAAGAAGCGGATAGGGAAGCTTATGTCGATTGGGTTTTAAATGGATGAAAATTTTGGTGGGTAAATATGTGGTTTTGAAAGAACAAGTTGGTAGTTAAATATGGGTAAATTTTGGTGGGTAAATGTGTGCTTTTGAAAGAACAAGTTGGTAGTTAACTGTGGGTAAATTTTGGTGGTTAAATGTGTGCTTTTGATGAAAATGTTTGTTGATTAAATATGTATTTTGAATGAAAATGTTTGTTGATTAAATATGCATTTTGGATGAAAATGTTTGTTGATTAAATATGCATTTTGGATGAAAATGTTTGTTGGTTAAATATGCATTTTGGATGAAAAGGTTTGATTGTTAAATTTTTAGGTTTGTTGGTTAAATAGATAGATTTAAGAAAATGAAAGAGATTTGGTGATTAAAATAATTACAAAAAAAAAAATCATTGACAACTGTTAAATTTGAACTTCCAGGTTAGCTCTTATTAAGTTTATATTAGTGTTATTGAAGATAATTTATAAGATTAGGAGTTAGTTAGATTAGATTGGCCGAAAAATTTCTAGAGTTTCCGGTAGTTGCTTAGCAAGTCCGGTTCCGACCCGTAACTATCTGAAACGTCCTATACAGTGCCAAATGCTCCAATTTATACCCAATTTATATAAAACACAAAGTTTTAGTGTTTTAAATATAAAACCCAAAGTTTTAGTGTTTTAAATATAAAACCTTTTTATTTAAATGAATTTAGCCATCATGGGTTTATAATTTGAAGAAAAATGTCAAAATTGAGAAAAATGACATTCTAGCATTTTGGGCTTAAGTTTATAAAAAAAAATTTAGAGGATGGGCTTGGGCTCTCCCATGGCCACCCCCCTTCCCCTCCTCTTTCTCTACTTAATCCACATATAAATACTATAACTCTTTCATTATTCTTCATTTTTTTTTCATCCTTTCAAATTTTGAAACTCCTCTCCCTCTCTCTCCCTAAAACTCAAGAGTCACTTAAGAATCATCTTCATCATCCATCATCTTCAGCCGAATTCTTCATCTCTTTCCATCAAAATAGTAAGGATTTTGAAGATATTACATCCCTCTCATCATAAATCAAGGTAACAACTCCATCTCCATCTTTTTCTTGTAAATTTTGGGGGAAAAACCCATTTTTTATGCATTTTAAACTACTATCTTCTAACCTCCGAAAATTCTGAGTTTTAAGGAGAGATTACACACCAAAAACATGTAAAAATGTTCATATGATGGTGGTGATTTATGACCCAAACATTAGAACTCAAGAAGATAGGTAAAATCATGATTGTATGTGTGTATGATTCTTAAAAATGGCATTTTTAGGTGCTGACAGATTATGTGCATGTGCATAAATCGTCCATATCTTGAAAATAATATGTTCAAATGTTATGAATCTTCTTCTAAAAGTTTATTTATTGAGTTGGGGTTGTAATCCAATTGGTCTCACTCAAAAACATAGAGTTTTGACTCCCCAAATACTCAAAACATTATGAATGTGCATCTGAGAGTTTTTCAGTAGGTAAACCCTACTTTAAACAACCATAACTCTCTTATTAATCATTCAAAATCATTGATTTTTCTTCTGAAAGTTAAATTAATGAGTTACCTTTCAAATGCCAAAAATATGGTTATTTGAGGTTTTAACTACTCAAAACATAATGAGCATGCAATCAGTCTGAAATTGACAGATTTGTATATGTATGTTCTAATGACCATATCTCTTTCAAAACTCGATGAAAAAGGATGATTCTTTCTTTGAGAGTTAACTATATGAGTTATCTTCTGCATTCAAGTATAATCACATGAAAATATGTAGTTTTGATCTCCAAATACCTAAAACACTTTAGGTGTGCAAACTGTGAAACCATCAGTAGGTAACTCCTACTTTGTATGCTAATATCTCTTTATTTACTTGCTCTTAGTGTATGATTCTTCTTCTGAAATGTTCTTTTATGAGTTAGGGTTCATATAAACCCAGTTTCACTCAAAAATATGAAGTTTTGAGGCATTAACCAATTTAATTAAGTTAAGTGTGCAATCTGTCAACTAATGACAGATGTGTGCATGTAACTTTATGGTGCCATATMTTCCTCTCAACTCATCCAAAATGAGTGATTCTTATTTTAAAAGTTTCATTTAAGTGTTAAGTTTATAATTCAACTTGAATTTCTGCAGAACACTTAGTATAACTCTTTAAATGAGTATTTTACTAACATGGTGTAATCTGCCATACCAGTTGTGACATATTGTATTACATAAATTATTTGAATCATTATTGCATGTCCAAAATGCATGAAATTTGGTCTCAATGACCACAACACAATGCTATATCTCATATAAAAATATAGGAAACTATGTCATTTTAGAAGTCTCTATAAATTGATCATTTTAGTGCTAGTAGTTTCTGTCCAAAAATGAGATTTTGGAATTAWTTGATTTTATAAATTTTGATCATTTATTGGATTATAACATTACTTCCGGTATAAATTACTATATTAACGAGCATATGTGCATTATGTATATTTGGACTATAGATAATCAAGTTGGACATATGTAGACACTTATGGACTTAGGACTTATTAATCCCCATAAGTAGTTTTAAACCCGTAAGTGATGGTTTTGGATATTCCTCTTTGATAGGGAAACGTTAAGCTTGTGTGGGGACCGGATCGTATTTTTGATTAGCGGAGCTTGGCAAAAGGGTGAGTTCTCACGGCCCCACTTTTAAGTACTTGTTTACTATTTTGGGGGAAAAGCATGTGATTAAGCAAACTATGTATCTTTATTTGTCTACAACCTTTGGACTAAGGAACTGCTTAGTCGGGTTTACTATGTTTTGTTTTGTCAACTGATATTGGACTTGGAATAAATGCTAAATTGATGTGCTTGGGAGTATATTTTTCCAATTAAAAGTCCCCGTCCGTAAACGCAACTTGTTAACTCGGGTACATCCCTTGGCCATGGTATTGTGGATAACCGCTATTGTGTTGACAGTCCCACCCAGAAAGGGTTGCACATTACATATGTTTTCTTGTCTAATCATGTGGAATTTGGACCACCGCTGAATTAGTACTTCTACGAACTGTGGGACCTAAGTAGTGTACGGGCTACCTATGGTTGTTCGTAAATTAATGGGGCAAGTTGGTCAGGTAAGGCTCAGTAGCGTCTCAAGTTATACATCGTGAAAGATTTACATTTATTAAGTGCAAAGGATTCGCATAAGTTTGCAAATATTTGGTTTATGCATTGAAATGTTTTATGTATATGAAAACCCGTGAGCTCACCAACTCTTTGTAGTTGACTCGTTTTTGTTCCATGCTTTTCAGGTGGTAARTAAGATTTGTCTCAAGTGGGAGCATACTCGTGTCAAAGCTGATTTAGTTAGAATCGGAAGTTTTTGCAAATGAAGAATTTTATAAGATTTTGGTTGTAAAATTTAACTCGCTTTATTATGTAAAACTTAATGTTGTTATCTATTAATCGTCGCTGTGACACGCTTGCCTGTTGCACCTCGTGTTTCCGCTTTAGCGGGGTGTGACATCAATCCAAATCCTACAAACCAAACAGAGGAATGGATTTCAATTCCAATCCAAATCCTGCAAACCAAACACAAGAATGGATTTTAAATCCAATCCAATCCAAATCCCATGGAATCCAAATCCCTCTTGGGAATCCAAATCCCTCAGAAACATTTCTGCAAACCAAACGCACCCTGAAGGTTTCCTTGTTCATTTCATAATGACTTCATTACACTCTCAATTTGGGTCATTCAAAATTAATTACAATACTCAAAAGGTGAAGTGAAAGATGAATGAACTTATTGCCATGTGTGTTCAAGAAGAGGAACGTCTAAAAATAGAAAAAGCGGACATTACTCATTTTAGTACTACTAACACCAATAAAAGGAAGTTCTCAAATAGTGGAAAGGGTCCATCTAAGGGAAGTAAGTTTACTCCCAATAAGGCTCAAAAGTGTACAAACTCATAAATCGAACCAGCTTTATTTTCAAATGTAAAATATAGAGACAAATCCTACAAAGAATCTATCAAAATCTTAGCTAGAATAGCTAAGAAGACGTAAGCTAGCTTAGAGAGAAAGAAAACTATTGAGATCTTATAGAATATTGAATACAAAAAATGATGACAATTATGATAATAACCGAGAAATAAAGGCTATTTATATTTAAGCCACAAAGATACACAAAACACCCTGAACTAACAAAGAATTGCTCCGCTACCCTTGTAGAATTGATAAAAATGAAGCGCAACCCTCAAGTCCTCCATCTTCCAGATTTTGTACATTTTAGCCCTTGAACTTTACAACCTTGCACAAAGTAATCAAACATAACCAAAAGTTAAGATTGAATTATAAGAATATTTCAACACCCTCCCTCAATCTTGACTTTTGATTAAATCGATCATTCTGAGTTTTGAACATAGAAAATTATGATGGGTTATATTGAGAGATTTTGTGAAAATATCAGCAGGTTGCTCAGAATAGATTATTTTAACAAATTTTGTCAACCCTTACTAATGTTTTCACGGATTTGATGAACGTCAATTTCAATATGTTTTGTGCGTTCATGAAAAAATTGTTTGCAATTTGAATTGCAGACTTATTATCACAATATAGATTTACAGGAAGCAAATTTTTTTATGTTCAAATCTAACAAAATTTTAAGAATCCAAATTATTTCACAAGTTGCAAT